CTCTAATGACCAATAGACATTCTCATTGTCATAATTGAGAAAACAACTCATCAAATCAATCCCTATCCTTTATCCCTGTTGATACAATGAGGAACATAATAGGATCAATCATCACCCTTTATAGCCCGCCATGCCTTTGCATAGTGTGTCCAAGGACTGGCTCAGTCAGGGGATCTAATAGCCAGGGGCGGGGGCGTGACCGTGCTCAGCGGGGCCAGGCTACCCTCCTGGCGCTGTGTCGGAGCCAATCACTGGTGCCCGCGGGAAATGACGTGGCTCTAGAGGAGTCCCATAGTTGGGGCCGTGCAGCAGAGGTGGCTCTGAGTCCAAGCCCGGGTGATGATGCAAAACTCACCCACCTGGTGCTGTGCTGCAGCCAATCTCTGGTGCCCGCTGGAAACGGGCTGGGCCACACAGCAGAGGTGGCTCTGAGCTAACATCCATTTTTAAAGTTTGAATTTTCTTGATGTATAACGCAGCACTATTTTATTAAATGTGACTTTCCAGCAACAATTGCATTATCTCTTATTAATTTATAAATACCTCTTTTTCTTTTCTTTTCTTTTTTTTTTTGAGACAAGGTTTCACTCTGTAGTTCAGGCTGGACTTGAATTCATTATGCAGCCCAGGCTGGCCTCAAACATGCAGGGATCCTCCTGCCTCAGCCTCATGAGTGCTGGGATTATGCATATGTGCCACCAGATCCAGTTTAAATCCCTCTTTTTTACCAACCATCACAGAGTACCACTATGGTTACACCAGATAGGTTAACAAAGTTCAAAGAAAGTCACATTTTTACTGCTTAATATAAATGAAGAAATTTAGCTATTTTTGTTGTTGTTGTTGTTGTTTGTTTTTGTTTTTGGTACAGGGGATGGAACTTGGGACCTTGTGCTTGTGAGGCAGGTGCACCACTGAGCTAAATCCCCAGCCCTTAGCTGTATTTTAATTTTATCAAAGAAACCATGTCTTCAGTGATACTATATTCCTAATCTATAATACTGCTAATTAAAAACAGCAAGTTGAACCATATCTGTGACGTCAGCACTTGCATCTATTGCTAAAGAATAAAGTGTGAAATTATATAGCAGCTTCACCCTTAAATCTTTTTCAGTAGATATTTTCGCCCACTTCCTCGATTCATCTGGCTCTAGTCTGGTGAGACAAACTGATTTAGAAAAATTAAGCAGGGCACCTTATTTCTCTCAATAAAAAAGCACACATCCATTTTTTGCTGAAGACTCTTCTTCCGTTGTTCTTTTTTTTGGGTTCTGTTTTCTTTTGAGATGATGAAGAAGCCATTCTGTGATTTAAGCATGCTGAGAGGCTGAAGCAGGAGGATCATAAGTTCAAGACCAGCTGGGGCAACTTAGCAAGACATTGGTGCTCCGAGTCTTCGAGTCCCTGCGTGCCCACCACAGCCTGAGGTCTCTGGTGGCTCTGGCTCTGGGAATCTCTGGGTGACTGGGTGACTGAAGTGCTGGTAGTCAAGGTTTGCTTACCGTCACCATGGAAACCATGGCTGTGGGACTTCCGCTGTCACTTGTGACACTTCCTGTCCCAGGCACCTGGAAGATCAACCCAATAGCCACCCCTGCCCCCCTTACCCACTGCCATTGCTGGTGTGACCATGGGTGGTGGGGGAGCTCCCCCGAATCCCACCTTCCTCTGGACGGTGCGGGGACAGAGCTTCGGCCTCCAACCCCTCCCCCCTTTTGTTTTGCCTTTGAGACAGGGTCTTGCTTAATTGCCTAGGCTGGTGTTGAATTTGTGATCTTCCTGTCTTACCCTCCTGAGTGCTGGGATTACAGGAGTGATCCACTGTGCCTGACTTGGAGAGTATTTTTTGATCCAAACCATAACAGGTTGTGTTATCCATGATTCCGAAGAGGGGCTCATAAGGCCTGGAGAGGTACCCCAGAGGGTAAAAGTTCACCAGGTAAAAGTTCCTTTTATTTTTTACCTTTAGAGAAGGTATTAGTTTCTATGGCTGCTGTAACAAATTTCTACAAACATGGTGGCTTAACCTAGGAAATGATTTCTTTCACAGTTCTTGTGGCCAGACATCTACAGTGAAAGTATTAGCAGGGTTTATATGGCCTCTGGAGCCTTTTCGGGTGGAGTTTGCTCTTGCTTCTTCCAGTTTCTGGTGGATGTCAGTGATCCTTGGCTGGTGGACTCATCTCATTTCTGCCTCCTCCTTCACATGGGCTTGTCCTTTCCAATCTGTGCAGAGTTTCCCCCATCTCTGTCTCACTCAGGAGGACCTGTAGGGCCCACCTGCGGAATCCAGGTGAATCTCACCTCAAAGTCTCGCACTGAACCACATGTGTAGTCTTTCTTCTCGGATACAATGACATCCATGTGACCCAGGGACCCACACTTAAGTTTTTTGGCTCTTACTTAACCTAGCACAGGGTGATTAAAAGCTAAATAAGTTCTCCTAACAATACTTGTGTGCTCTGTTAAAAGAACAACAACAAAAAAAGGCTGATCATCTCACTTCCTGGCTTTTAGACTGCTGTTTATTCATAATACTTTTAAGATTTTGTTGCCAAAGGGTGTAATTTTATAACATCACAACAAAGTCAAGCAGAGATAGAACTTAATTGTACTTTTCCCTTTCCCCCAAGAGGATAGAAATAAATATATTTAGAGGGAACCAGGAATGAACAGTTTACAAAGCTGTTAGTCTAGCATCTGTTGAAGGACTTGGGCTGACCATGGCTGGAGTGAAAGTCACTTCTGTGGGCCAGGAATGCTGGTGGGGACTTGACTTGTGAGGTTCATGTCAGCAGAGGCCCCCCAGCTTGTCCTGATCATCATCAGCCCTTGGCTGTTTTTTGATATCTTTGGATAAAGCGCCTGAAATTCCCTATTAAGACAAAACTCTGTCCTCCAGAAGAGATAGCAGATTCAGCTGTTTACAGCTGTTTTTGCTTTGATGATTGCATTGGTTGGTATTCCCACCGGTCACTTAACTGTTTATAAGGCTCTGTGTGGGGAAGGGAGTGGGCTGGGTTACAGTGAGGAGAGCTTCTCATCTTCCAAGTTGTAAGTATTTGGGAACTCAGGGGAGGAGGGCTCTCTAGAAAGAGGATGGCTCTTGAGTTGGCCATTGGGGACTGGCGGATTTGAGTGGGCAAAGAGGAAACCTGGTGAGTCCATGGTACAGCTGACAGGAAGATGCTTATGAACTCAGGCAGGCAGCAGTGAGCCCCAAAAGGCTTTAGTGAGAAATTAGGGTTCTGGGCCCAGTGATTTTTGAGGCAGAGCATGGAGTAAATTCGGGAAACCAGGACGACAGTTGCGGAGAAGAGTTAGGGTATCGATATGCTAGTTTAGGCTGACTGGTGGTGGTTGGCCTTTTGTTGGTTTAAGAAGTTTGCCTGTGGCTTCTGCTTTTTTCATTTTCTTTTTTCTTTTAAAGTATTGTTTTACAGCTTTTTTGAGGCCCAAGTGACAGAGAAGCAGAGTCTATATTTACTGTGTACAGTGTGATGTTTTGATATGTGTGTGTACATTGTGGAGTGGTTGCCTCAGTTAAGCTCATTAACATGTCAATCACCTCAGAGTTATCGTGTGTGTGTGTGTGTGTGTGTGTGTGTGTGTGTGTGCGTGTGCGCGCGCGCGCGTAACATTTAAGATCTGCTCTCTTGAGCAGTTTTTAAGAATATAATACTTTATTGTGAACTGTAGTCACCATGCTGTACATGAGATCTAAGGTTTTTATTTATTCATTTTGTCATGAACTGTGTTCCTAGATAACATCTGAGCCTCTCACTGTAAACATATTTCTTTACTTATTCATCATTCACCTACATGCCTGTAAGGCTGTACTAATACATTGAGTGCACTGGGAGACAGGTACAAAATATAATCACCGAAAAGGAAATTAACAAGAATGGACAGTCCACTGTCTCCAGCTTGCAGCTGGTGGCTCGTTGGCTGTGTGGCAGAGCATTCCTGAGGGACAGCAGGTGCTGGGTGCTGGGGGAAGGTGCTGGGTGGGCAGAGGGGAAGAGAAGGGGAAGGGAGTTGGCCGCTCAATGGCTGGTCACATTAGAAGGGGCAGTGAGGACCTTAGAAACAGTGAGGTGTCCCGGGGCCTGGAGGGTGAAGAGGTGGCGCCCATAAAGGAAGAGGGAGAGGTGGGAGGGCACAGAGTTAGGTTTAGAAGAAAGCCTTCCCTTCTTCTCTATCCTCCTTCCTTCCTTCTGTTCTTCCCTCCCTCAGAACCTCCCTTCTGGACACGTTGATGGTGGGGAGGTGGCTCAGGATGAGCTGCTCTGGGAGCTGAGATGTGAGGCTGGGTCCTGATCTCGGAGACGTGATGCATGCTGGGAAGGAGGTCAGCTTTGGAGGCCGGAGGCAGCAGGGGGCTGTGCAAGGCAGAGAAGGGGCTGACAAAGGCCAGAGAAGCTGGGTCCTCCGACAGTTCTTTCCCTGGCTTCTAAGCACACCCTAGATGAAGAATGGGGACAGGGTTAGCTGTTTCTGAGGTGGGAGGGTTGTGCATCAGACCGGGGGGTGGGGAGCAAAATCATCCTGAGAGATAGTGGGGAGAGTCCCTTGCTCGAGAGGTCAGGATTCCACTCCTGTCCTGTTCCCTGGAGGGACTATTTGATATTATCAACCCTTTGCAGAGCATTCTAGGACCCTAGTTCTAGAACACTGAAATTTCCTTGAGTAAATTCCATTCTCTTCTTTAACAAATGAGTCTCTTGTTCTTTTCCTGATATTCTGCTTTTTCCTTTGATGCTGTTTTAATTAATTCGTTCCTAATTTTTTTGTGATGCTGGGGATGGAGACTTTCAGAGACTTGCAGATGCTCGGCATGCAGTCTCCCACCAAGCCACATCTCTACTCTTGGTGTTTTAGACCCAGCATTTCTCCTGGTGCAGGGAAATAGCTATGAATTGTCCTAGCGTCCTTGAGAGTAGTTGAGGAATCACCCTTGCCTGCAGTGTCTAATAACAGCTGTGCTCTTGGTTTCTTAGGTGGCCATCAAAGTCATTGATAAGAAGAGAGCCAAAAAGGACACCTATGTCACCAAAAATCTGCGGCGGGAAGGGCAGATCCAGCAGATGATCCGTCACCCCAACATCACACAGCTCCTTGATATCTTAGAGACGGAAAACAGCTATTACCTGGTCATGGAGCTGTGCCCTGGGGGCAACTTGATGCACAAGATCTACGAGAAGAAGCGGCTGGAGGAGTCCGAGGCCCGCAGATACATCCGGCAGCTCATCTCCGCAGTGGAGCACCTGCACCGGGTTGGGGTGGTCCACAGGTAAGAGCCACGTCGGGCTGATCATCGCCAGATCTTTGCTAAATGGATGCTCTAAGCAAGGCTGAGTAATTGCATCCTAATTTACAAGTTTTCTGCAGAATTTAGTCCACTGAATTGTTTCATAAGCTGGGTTAATATCAGCGTGGGGTTCAACAAGTAAAGCCAGAGTGTCTGGGCTTGTACCCTGGCTCTGCCCTTTGGTGGTCGTTTGACCTTGGGTAAATTGCTGCACGTCTCCGGCCTGTTCATCTGTGGACTGAGAATGCTACTACTTCTCTCTCCACCGATGCCCTGACCAATGAGTTGATAGAAAGAGCTTGAACAGCGTTTGGTGCTCAGTCTGTACCAGGTAAGTGACAGGTGCTGCCCTTATTATTTACCAAGTTGAGAGATCAGTTGCCGAGGTACCTGAGAGAAGGCTCAGAGGTGGGATGGCATGAGGTTACTGCTCAGCCAGTGTGAGAGAGAGGTGCTTTCACGGTGTTTACTTTCCAGTGGTAGCTGCTCAATCACAGTTTTATTCAATTTGATTGAATTCAAATTGTGGACTTGCCCTTGAAATCTAGAGATGTTCCCCAGAAACCAGACTTGTTTATACCAGCTCGTTCCTTCCTAGATAGGGGCTTTACAAAGAAACTGAACAAAAATAGTGGTCGCTGATATTGCTGTTGGTGGTGGTTGCCTATGTGGAATATGATAATAAATTGTAAAAATAAAAAATATAAAAATGTTCTCTTTCCTTCCCCCCAAATTATTGGCTCCCCTAATAAATGCATGCTTCTTTATGGAATGCTTAACCATTAGTTACTCAGTTATTGAGAAAAATTAATAATCATGCATAATTCTCATTCTGAGAAATGTAGGCAAGGCATAAGATGTGTGTATGTGTCCTTATATAAGCACATATGTTTAAACATTTAAAAATTGAGATCTAAGTATATATACTCTAAAACTCACCATATGAAGGTGTATATTCCAATGGCTTTAGTCTTTTCCGTGTTGTGCAACTATCATTGCAATCTAATTTTAGAATTTTTTTTGTCCCCCAAAAGAAACCTTGTATCATTAGCACTTGCTTCCCAGTCTTTCTCGGACTCCTGGTAACTCCTAATCTGTGTTCTGTCTGTACGGATTTGCCTGTTCTGGACATTTCATGTAAACGGAACCATTCAGTATGGAGGTGGTCTTTTGTGATTGATGTCTTTTTCTTGGCAAAATATTTTTCAGATTCATCCATGTTATAACATGTTTTAGTACCTCTTTCCTTTTTCTTTTTATAAGCAATTAACATTGCACTGCAAGGATTCATCCCAGTTTGCTGATCTCTTTATCAAGTGATGGAAGTTTGGATTGTTTCCGCTTTTTGGCTATTACCAATAATGCTGTAGTGAGCACTCGTAGACCAATTTTTGTGCGGATATATGTTTTCATTTCTCTTGCTTTTCTTGGAGTGGAATTGCTGGGTCATACAACAAGTCCCAGTTTAATAACCTTTTGAAGAAACGTGTGTTTCTTTCAAAAGTCAACACCCGATGGTACCTTTTATCTGACTGAACGCCATTCATTTTCTGATCAGTAGAGGAAGAAGCTTGGAGCCATCAGCTCTCCCACTATCCAGGTGGAGAGGCCTGTGTGCTCCCTGGTGAGACTGGCATCAGGGATGCTCTCCCTTGTCACTGTGAAGCCCAGGGGCCACGAGGACGTCCCTCTGTTCAGGGCTTTCCAGGCACCGCTAGGGCTCATCCACGGAGGGGAGGAACCCTCTTCACAAACACCTGAGTCACACATTGTCACACGATCACGATGTATTAGAACTCTTCCGGCTTACATCACCAACGATGGGAACATTCAGAAATTTGAAGTGTATAGCACTATTCTGGGCTCTTCCCAACAATACCCTAGTGTTGCCTGCAGTGTCATGGCTCTGCCATTATTAGGAAAATGATATTCATAAGGGTGCCTGGTCCTGTCTTTGTTTATTAAGAAGACAGAGGTAAAAACCTCACGAATGAGTCAGCTTGGATTACTGACTCCGAAGGTCACAGCAGAAAATAGAACCAGGGGACTACAAGGGGCAGGGCTTTCTGCAGGACTCAGGGTGTTTTTCCAAGGGCTTCTTGCTGTCAGAAATGAGATGAGCACCAAGCCTCTCAGGATCATGAGGACAACAAAAGAAAATCAAGTGAAAGCTGTGCCACTGCTCACAGGTCTCTGCTGCAGGAAATTCTCAACAACCCTTTTAAAGTAATTTTTAACAAAATCCAATCCTTCTCGGTGCAATTACTGTCAGAATGTCAAAGGAATGAATTTAATAATGTTTTGATAGCAAAGACAGTATGCTGCTTCTGTCTTATCTCCAGCTCTCTCCTCCTTCTCTCTCCCTGGAAGTATATTCATAATCCAGGAATGGTGAGAGATTTAGGAGAATTCCCTTGCTTTTCTCTCTAGAAATCACCTTATTGTTTGTCACTGCACGTGGGCGCAAATGATCAGGTGGCCCAGACAGTCCATCAAGGGGCTTGCTTACAATATATTTATGGATGGCGTTAGTGGAATCTCTTCACTTTGGAAGATTCCATGTTACTAATTTTAGCATCTGTAATTTGCTTGCCACTGGCTTATTTTTCACTGTGACCACTCCTGTGTACTCTTTACTGTAGCACTCTTCCGCGGTGGAGACTTTTCTTCTTTGTGCTGCAGAGGAGGAATGCATGTCATGAATTATTTTGAGGTTAGGTTTTTCAGATGAGTGAGATGGCGTAGCATTGCAGAGAAGCCCTGGAGTGCCTGGTGGGAAGGTTTCTGAGCAAATAGATCGTATCGTCCAAAAGGATTCAGAATGGATTTTTCTGGCTACAGGCATACCGTGACTTAAAAAGCCTTCTTCGGTTCCCTGTCAGCTGATGTTGTGAAATTCAGTATGTCACAGTCAACTCAATGCTGTCACAGCCCCATTTCCTGTGCTATGAGTTCTGAATGTTTATTTGCCCTCCCAGAACTATTTACATATCATTAACAAGACACAAATCTTACAGACCAGGAAGTGGCTCACTGGAAGAACACTTGTCCAGCAAGGAGGAGGTCCTGGGTGCTTATCCCCAGCACCGAAAAAAAGGGCAAATCTTTTAAAAAATCATATAGCTGTCATTATAAATGGAATTTATAATGCAAGCTGACTCCCAACTTTATGTGAAACCAAACCTGCTTGGCGTCTTTGGGTCCTTTGCTATTAATAGGGCTGCTATTCATTTTCACACAGGTAGAGTGTGATCTAACTTTGTCATTAATTCCATTTCAGGAATACCTGAAACATTCCACATTTAAAATATAGCCAGTTTGTTTTGTCTTTTTCTTCCCCCTTCCAACGCACGTTCTTGGCAGGATGCCCAAACCTGATGGTGTGCCCATTGTAAACAGGGCACCGACTCTTAACACGAATCAACAAGAGGGCCGCCAATTCTGCTAAGAGGCTAATTTGAGATTCATCTGCTCATTCAAAATAACAAAGTCCAATCAAACTATACAGACCAAACGTTAGAGATACAGGGCCACCGTCCCTAAGCAGGAAGAGAGCAGCCGCTGGCTGTAGGGTGAGCAGAGAGGGACCGTGATCAAAGACTGCTCAAGCCCTTGCATGGACATGTGTCAACTCAGCCACTCCCAGGGCCATGACCTTCTTCATTCATCAATATTGGGAAAGGTCCTGCGGAGCTCAGGAGGAATGCAGTGGAAGGGCAGGAACTTTGCTTTGTTCTCTTGGGTCTGACAAGAAGCAAGCACAACCTGTTTTGCTGGAGGATTAAGAAGTTCTTTTAAATTGTAAGTCTTTTTTTTTTTTTTCTCCCCAAGGGAAAGTGAGGGGAGGCAGATGAGAGGGAAATCATTTCTGCTCCTGTCCAGAAACTGTTCGGGATCCCAGGCCTGTCTGTCTGCTAAGAGTAAGCACCTACCTGGAAGCCCTGGTGACACCAAAGGTTTTGGTTGTAATTGGTGTCTTAGTCTCTTTCTTATCACTGAGGCACAGTATCTGATACCCACAAATTAATGGGGGAGAGGCTCATTTGGGCTTGTGGTTTTGAGAGGTTTCAGTCCATAGTTGGTTGGCTTCAAGGCAAACCATGCATGCCACAAGAGTCTGGCAGAAGAAAACTGGTCACGTCATGATGAGCAGGAAGGAGGGAAAGAGAGAGGTGGGGAGATTTATACCCTTCCAACGTGTGTCCCCGGTGACCTGCCTTTTCTGACCAGCAGCACACTCAGCTACTGAATTCATTAGTGGATTAATTCACGGATGACTGTAGTGCCCCCGAGATCTGGTCACCTTCCAGATGCCCTACCTCCGAACCCACAAGACCTTTGGGGGACATCTGAACCATAACAATTGTGCTTTGAAAAATGTGTTTGCAGATGCATGATTTTGCAAAACCATAGCCTAACTGTTCTGTAGGTTGGTAGGGACAGTGGCGAGCAGTGTTGACACTAAAGCCTGCATCCACGTGTGGCCTGTACCACTTAGAAACAGAACTGGGTGCATTTCTCAGGCTGGTGCCTGTCTTGCCACATCTGCCCCAGAGGGATGGGAGATTATCCATTGTATGTGATGATTGGGGGCGATTAGATAAGTTGTCTATATACAGTGCTCAGGGCCGGGGATTTAACTTAGTGGTTCCACCACCTGCCTCGCAAGAGCAAGGACCTGAGTTCGATCCCCTGGTACCTCCCCCTTCCCATAAAAAAGTGCTCAAACTGAGACCTTCCATAAGGGCCAAGTTTACTGTAGTTATTGCTGAGTCCTCCTCATTTGTGAGTTCCGAGTATGCAGGGCCCCATAGCTCTCCTCTGGGTGCCACCCTTGCCGTCTTTGTCTGGCTGAATACTGTTCATCCTCCAGGTAGATCCCAGCTCCAAGCACACTTTCTCTGGGAAGCCCAGCTGGGTGCTCTCTTGGGACCATGTGTGGTCCCACAGCACCCTCCGTCTGCCTTCCAAACCTGTATCTT